ATTAACCTTGCTCTAGCAGAGCAGCTGTGAGACGCTGCAGCCTGCCCATGCTCCTGGAGGAGGAGGAAGCTCCTGTGAGGTGTTGATGAGCACACAGTGACTCCAGGAGTCACTCACCCAGTTAACAAATACCAAAAAAACTCATTTGTGACCAAAACGAATGAGTCAGTGGTGCTTCCAGTTACAGTTGTAATGGGGAAGGCAGCCACGTGAACAGGAAAAACATCCCTGTGGCTTTGCCCACTATTGGGTGCAGGGATGTCTTGCTGCCAATACCGTTGGGGTCCAAGGAAAGGTGGGCACAGGACACACAGTGGGTGGCTGAGCCCAGCCAGCAACTCTGCCAGCCATGGTGCTCCAGGACGGCTCGGTGCACAGGCGTTTGCCACCGCACCCTCCCAGTCGCAGGTGGGGCTTGCTGGTGAGCTAGAGCAGGTATATTTTTATTACCTCTTTATTCCATGAGCTTGTCATCATCTCACATAGGAGTTTTTTGCAACTTAACCCCACTTGCAGAACAGTAGGTAAGATGCGAATCCCCTGCCTGTCCCTGCCCCTAGCTCACGGCCATGAGGTTGGTCCAGCACGAGCAGGGGCTTGCCCTGTGTTTCCCACAGCTTGCTGGGGCATTGCTGACAGCTACAGCCGTTGAGGCCAGGACAAGCCAAGGGCTGAGCAGAGGTGTGCCCTGAGCCACTGCTCGCTCTCCCACCCACAGGCAGTGCTTCCACTCAGCATTGCTGTGACAGGGCACGGATTCCCCCCTAACTTGCCCTCAGGCAGTCTCCTCCCGGACCAGCAACCAGGCAACTGCAGTAACACCAACAGGAGGGCGAACACAGCGTGAGCATCAGGCCCAGCACCACAGCTCGAGGAGAGAGAAAGAAAAGCGTCCATAGTTTGCAAAGGGAGCTGGTCTGGGCGGGAGGGCAGTGGGAGGAGGCTGGATGGCAGGCGCTCTTCTGCCCGGAGCTGCGCTCGCCACTCCTCCCCATGTGCTCCAGCGCTGTTGGCTGTGTTGTGGAGCCCTACTGTTGCAAATCCCAACTGTGCTTTTTTCCAACCTAATTTTCTCAGGAACTGACCCAGTTCTAGCACTTGGGAATTGGCATTCACCCTACTGGCAAATGTTTCACATCTGTTTCAAGTTATCTGTCCAGTGTGAACTTTTCCGCTTAAGTAGCTTACACAATGAAAATACATGAATGTTAAATCCTAATCTTGCACAACTCTGAAAGCAGGGCCATATATTTACCAGCAGCAAGGGACTTTTTTTTCCCCGTTCTTTGCAGAAAGTAAGAAGGAAACAGAGAGCACTGTGCAACTGTAGTAAAGGGAGAACTCACCCATAATCCCCTCGCTCCCAAAATTCACATGGCGCTTGAGGTAACAGCATTTGTACAACCCATTTCTGATGTTTTTTGCACGGAAAGATGAAAAGCAAGGGGCTTTTCACCTGCCCAGGAGTCTCCATCCATGGGCAAAGCCCCCACGACCTTCTGGGACTGTTTCCCCACCAAATGCCACCGCAGATCAGGACTATAGTGGGTCATGGCTTCCTGATTCTCCACTTCAGGGCTTCCCCTGGCACCCAACAGGACCAACTGGTCTTCATAGTTCGAGTGTTCCTCCCCACTCTCTTCTCTGTTTTCAAAGCTGTGGTCTCACCCAGCACGCAGCAGTTTGTGTCTGTTCCAGGGTGTATTTGCTGTAACCAGATGTATGGGATCACTTTTTATAGTGAAAGGTAAAAAGGTTCTGAAATTTTGCTTGCAGCTGCCTTGAAAGTTCAAAAATGCAAAGGATGGTCATGCACTATCCGTTGGCACCTACCTTCGCAGCGTCTTACTGGAGCCAGAACCTATAAAGTGATGGGAACATCTTCACACCTGAAAAGTGACAGTGCCTGCCTGAGGTCTGCGCGGCCAACACAGCAGGCTGGCAGCGCTGCCCTGCCGGAGCGAGTGTCAACCCCCGTGCACACAGTGAAGCGGAGAGGATAACTGGCAGGTGGGAAGAGGCCTGATTGTGCCTTTGCTGCTCCAAAACATTCCCACTGACTCCAGCTAGGAAGCAATAACACATTCACTCAGGCACCAGTTCAAACAGTGATACCCTAAGCCTTGCGCAGGCGCTTCGAGGGCAGTGTTCTTCCTAATGAGAAGCACTCCTTTGTTTCCTGATGCTGTTTCTCATGTTCCTACTAAACTGTTTCTCAATATGACTAAATTTGGCCATGGGAAGATCCAGCCTCAGTCACAGCCTGTTGCTTGTTGGGGCACGTGTGCCACAGCTCCACTCTTCCCGAAATATCCTTTATTTTCCCTCCTGGAGGGGAGTTGCTGCAACCAGCTTCCCTTGACTCACACAAGGTGACATGGAGATGGTCCACCCACGTATTACTGGTCATGACCCTGCCTGATCCCTTAGCATAGCAGTAGGAATCATGAGATGTTTTTTCAGCAAAATGTATTGGATACCAGAGCTCTTCCCTGGGGCAAACCAGGTGTGGCTGAAGCGCCTGCTCCTTGCAAAGGGTGCTCCAGGCTGGGGGCAAGGGAGGGCTCACAGGGTGATGCAGAGAAGAAGGGATGAAGTAAATGGTGATGGGCAAGGCTATACAAGCCTGACAAGCTGCACTGATGTGCCCGGCCCACAGCAAAGGAGCGAGGAGATGGATGGCTTTATATAAGCCCTGCAGAGCCCGGAGAGGCAGAAGCCGCTGGACTGGCTCCAAAGCCCACCAGCAGAGTCAGCAAGCTCGAGGGGAGGCGTGGCGGTGGGTCAAACCGGGGCTGGCACTGGAGGACCCCGGCTGGAGACGCGTGGGGCCAAGGCGCTGCGTGGGGCCGCGACTCCCAGGTGCCGGGGACAGCTGCGTGCTGAGCTGCCGCCGCGGGGCTCTGGCAGTCTGCACCAGTTAGGCCATTTGGTTTTCATTTTAATGAATCGTTTAAACGTTTGAAACATACCTTTGACCTACTTGGGCAGTTATACCAACAATTAGCACCACCACCTCATAAATCCTGGCGGTGTGCTCTCTGGTGCTAGCTTAGTAAAGCCTCCGATCATGTGGCCAGGGCCATAACCTTGCAATGTGGCATCTGCTCCCCGACGAGAACAGACGGGCCTCTTTAAAAACCTCCAAATTCCTAAGAAATGCACAGTTTTGAGCAGAGCAGCCAGGAGGCTGCTGAGGAGCTAAGCACTCCTGAGGCAGATGGGCTCCCATGCACTTAGACGTTCAGGTAAGAACACTTTGCTAGTTTGAATTCTGTGTAAGCCTTTGTTTATTTTTACTCACTTTGTGAAATCTTGTGAATACATTAAAATTAACTGCACTGGAAATAGAAAAAGCTTCCTCCGCTAACATTCGTGTGCAGTCCTTGCATGCTGTTACTCACTAGCTGTGAGTTATAGCTGCTGCTTTTCCCAGCCCTGTAAGCCAGCTCTCCTTATTATTGCATCCTTGTACTGAATTATGAGACATGTCCGAGGCAGAGACTTATGCATACTGCCAGATGTGTACTGACACAAGTTTTATGTCATGTTCGACAGGTTAAGAACTAATTCTGGTCATTTCTTCTGACTGGAGCTTCTCCATATGCTCTCATTCACAATTAGAAAAAATACTGGTATTGCTTGTACTTATGTGATGGACTTGAGGAGATTTGTTATTAATTTAAATTGAAAATTAGCTGTTAAAATTGTTGTATATTTTTAATTGCTTCCGTGTGTTGGCAGTTAGAATTTCTGGCTAATTTAAAGTCCCCCCACCCCTCCCAGCACAACCTGTCTCCTCTGGCTCCCCTGAGCCACTTCTTCAAATGACTGGGTTTTTTGCTGGCCCCAACCCTCAGATTTCCCAAGGTCCCTCTGACTTAAAGCTCTGCCGTTCAGCAGACCCCCAATTTCATGTTGTCGCACTGTAGCTGTGGGTGCTGAGGAGGAAGCGGCCGTGCCAGACTATGACCAGGGAGTCCACCTTTTATAGCCAAGGCTGCATGGACTATGTAAAGCGAGTTTGTAATACGAAAGGAGCTCAGTGATGCATTGTGTGTTCATGTAGATGTTGCCACGTTCTTCCACAAGCAGTGGCCTCAAGCTTTCAGAGAGATTGATAGCTATATCTAATCTATGTGATATATATATATCTCTCTAACAATCTACCTATCTCCCTGTCTTTAATCTATACCTATACCTGTACATATATGTAAAAATTAAAGAATATATATACACTTATTACCTGTAATCCATGTGCTTTTTGGCATAGGGAAGCAGGCTGGACTGGTGTGTCTGTAGGCAGTGACTCCTAAACACCTTCAGCATGAAATCTGAAAGAAGGAGAAGCTACCCCTGAAAACTGCTCCTCTCTCCCTCTTAGTCCCCACCTTTCCTCCAGCAGATCTACTCAGGAAGAGAAATTTGTCCCCTTCAAAAATCACCATGACAACTAAGAAGACTTCTCACAAGCTTTTCTACCATTTCTTTTTTGTTGGAGGGTGAATTAGAAAGGAAATTCTCTCTCTGTACTTTTTTTTCTTTTTAGTCACTGAATCCTGAAACAGGAAAGACAAAAGCACTGGTAACACTTGTGTAAGAGGTGTCTGTTTATTGGATAAGTCAAGGCTCATGCGTTCTGCTTTCTTTTTTTTTTGTAAGTGAAAATTTCATTGGTCCGAGGCACTGACAGGCAGGTCAGTCACTGGGCTGCATCACTCTTTCAAACATTTCAAATGAAGCCAAAGTCATCCATGTGTTGCCATCCCCAAAAGTTACAAATAAAAGTCCTCTGGGAAATGATTAATCAGACTTGGTAAATGAGTGAAAAGGCGCTTGTTGTCAGTGGTCACCCTGCAGAGGGAATGCCAGGGCCCCACCGGCATGCTGAAGCCTTTCAACTCCACTTTATTTCTCCAGCCTCCTTGCACGCTTGCCGCAGGACCGCATCTCTGACCCCACACACCTTCCACCGGGAACCCCTGACATCCTACCTCTGAATGGCTCTCCGGCAGCTTTATGCTTTCTCCGTGGCACTTATGTGGGGCTGCGTGGCGTTGGCGTCCTCCTCCCACTACTACCATACTGCAGGTAAAGCCCAGCGTGCCATTCACACCGCTGCCTAATGCATGCTTCACATTAACTCAGGTGCTTTATGAAGTTAGTTCTTCAATCAAAGCTTTTCTTGTGTGTGTGTGTGTGTCACAGGGAGTGGCTGATTCATAAACCTGTAATGAATTGTGTAAATATATTGTGCGTTTAGTGGAAATTTTCCTATCTTCAAAAGGAGCAGAAACTGCCTTTGGTGCACAGTGAGTATATTGTTTGGTATAGGGTTAACAAATATAAATACCACTTGGCTCCATAAATGTTCCTGAGCCTGGTCCCAGCTGGACAGACTGCGCTAGGTGCAAGAAACATGAGGCTTACTTATATTTGGAGAATAATAGTTTCTTCTAAAAAATTATTGCTCTGTAAGCTATCATCCACGGCAATGGCACTTCAAGCATCTTTTGCTTCATGCCCTCAAGCACCTCTTTGCTGCACCGCACCCACCTGCCCCAGCCCTTTTGGCCTCTGGTAGCTGGGACTTTGCACCGAAAAGCTTTCCTTCTTCAGAGAGACAGCGTGAGGGTCTGGCCCTCCCTGCTGCAGCTGGTGCAGGTGGAGAGGTCGAAACTTGGCCAGGAGGGTACTGAGGGGCTCACCATCCTGCCAGCCAGCACACATGGAAAGCTGCCAGCAAACATGTCGCTGTCACGCCAAGCAAAGCAGCATTGCCTTTACAACGGGCTTCTCGACACGTGGAAGTCACCTGCATCTCTCTGACCAGCATGGAGAAGTGCAGACCTAGAAGACAAGGGGGGCACCTGGCAGGCTGCAGTGTTCCAACTGGTAAAACAGGCAGAATAATTCCAAAACCTCCTGCATGGCGAGGCGGTGGGAGGCAGCTGGGAATAAGCAGGCGATTCTTCATCAAAGCTGCGATGTTCAAGTCAGCACACCCGGCAGCCAGGACCAAGTGGCCCCGAGGGCTGCGGCTGTCTAGCCAGCACATCATTACCTGGCTCATCACCATACAAATCAAGTAAAGAAGCTGTTGGTCTTTTTTTTCAAGAAACATTCAGGAGCAGCTTTCCCTCAAGACTGGATAATGAAACAGTATTTCTAGTCCTGTGTTCTGTGCGAATGATGTAAGTGAGACCGGTTTGTCATGTAATATTGTGAAAAATGAGAAACTGCTGACTAAATTACAAGCTGACGTGCCTTCAGAGAATGTGCCTAGCTAGCCAGAAACATTTCAAATGAAGCCAAAGTCATCCATGTGTTGCCATCCCCAAAAGTTACAAATAAAAGTCCTCTGGGAAGGAAGCAAGAGGAAGTGCTGACATTTAAAAAGCAATCAAATCCCAGAATGCAAGTCACATCCCAAAAAGAAGCTTCTCCGTTCCTCTGAAACCCAGCCAAAATTCATTTTGCAAGAATTTCTGTTTACAGTTGCAATTATTTTGAAAAAAATATTGTTTCGTTCACACTCAGAATGGAATCAAATTTTAGTGTGTTATCGTTTCCAGCCAGAAATTCCATTTTTGACCAATCTAATCATCTCTGGACAGCTTATTACCAGGCTCATGACAAAGGCTAGTAGCTTTTTGCTTCCTGGTTTGTGTAGCTGCACGACTCAGCATTTATCCATTCAGGAGGAACTTCCTGAGCGCAGGAGAGTCCAGCTCACAGCCCTGCCAGCAGCCCTCCTTGGTCACCCTGTTTGGGAAATTACGCATGCCAGCCACCGTAACAGCGTTCGGCTCTAGGACATGGTGCACTGGCGCTGTGGAAGCCCTCCCTCGCGCCAGCCCTGGTGGGCTCTCTGCCTGAGCTGGCCGGTGGGAGGAACACCCGCTCGCCTTCTGCCCTCTCCCTCCTCGGGGCAGCTATAAATGGACGTTCTGGACGAGCCACTCATTCATTTTTTTAGCAGCTGCAGCTCTTCAAATGCCGTTCCCACAGACTTACTTTCCCCTTCGCTGCTCCTCCCTTTCCTAGAGCCTTTGTATGTTTGCGAAGACCCAGGAGGTGGGTGAGATGCCCTCGTTTTGCCCCCGCTCCCACTGCTGGTGCTCACCAAAGGCCCGGCTTGAGCATTCTTCGCATAGGCAGAGCTGCCCGTGCCCCTATTCCCTCTCCTCTGCCCGTGCTGGGAAACCTGTGCCTGTCGTAGCGTAGTGATATCAGACCCTCGTCTCCTGTGGGAGCACGTGGCTCTGACTACAAGATATTGCATATGCAGGGCCATGCCCCATCGCCCCTGGAGCTGGAGCAAGCCCACCTCCACCCTCTGAACCCAGGCTGCATTCATAGGACTCAGAGCTGGTGGGAGGGAGTGTGTTTTACTGATTACACAGAAAAATACATAAAATCTAGTTTTTCTCCAAATTATTGTGGTCTGTTTTTCCTTGCCCCAGCACCTCCCTAAATACATTGCCATGATATCCTGCTGTCCTGGGTTTGGCCAGGACAGGGTTAATTTTCACCGGACTCCAGGAAGGGGCACAGCCGGGGGGTGGGGGCTGACCCCACCTGGCCAAACAGAGCCCGGTATTCCATACCATGTGACGTCATAGACCCGGAAGAAGAATGATTTTGAATGGGGCCCTGAGCAACGACAGGCATTTGAACAGATTAAACGGGAGATACTTTGCCATCTAGCGTAACAGCAAATCTACTATGGAGCTTTACACGCTGGGAAATGTGGGGTCTTAAGACTGCTGCCTGCAGTGTGTTTCATTTGTGAGAATTTCCTTAGAAGAAATAAATCCTCCAATGATATTCTCTGCAAACTTTCCAAGGAGCATATTAAAGTTTGATTCATATCACTATCTTCCACTGAAAGGTATTCTCAGGGTCTGCTTTCGTGACAGATTTGTTAAAAAAAAATAAAAGGAAAAAATGGTGTAAATTTTGATGAAGGCATGAAAAAGGTGGCAGAGAAACAAGTGACCTAGAGGCCAGACTCAAACAGAAAAGTGATGCAATGCTGGACTGACACAGCCAGGAGATCGACTCCAAATCACCATGAAAAAAGTGTATCATGCAGTGAATACATAGCAACCCAAATAGATAATCTCACCTCTAGACAGTGGATAAAAATTACCTCAGATATTACAGAAATGGACTCCGTTTGCACTAATAAAACTGAATAGCCAAACAACTTTCATCACGTGAATGACAGCTCCATGCAGAGCTGGGCTTTTAGGAAGCACACCTTAGTTTGGAATTAATACATAATATATGCTGATTTATTAACATATGGCAGCATCTTACAATAGCTTAGTAAAAGCCAGACTGACTGTAAGAGCGCATTTTTGTATAGCTGATAGATGTCCAAAATAAGAATGATTTTAACTTTCTACCTTTCTGCTCCTGTGTGGTTTTTTTGTCTTGGTTTTTCATTAATCTTTAATATACTTGAAAGAAATATTCAAAGCAATATAGGTGATTTCCACTGATTAAGGTATATAAATTTCTCTGACAGCATGCTGTGTCATCTTATGTTGGTGTACGTGCTGAACACAATGTTTACAAGGTTGCTTGTCCTGAGAGTCGTTAAATATCACGAGTTAAATGCAAGTAAATATAGGACTTGAAAGGTCATTCCAGGACAGTAGTTTTGCTTAAAACAGCTTGGAAAAGAGCATCAAAGACATGGCATTCTTTGTGCCCTTTCAATTGTCCTTAGGCGTTTTTTCTGAGCATCAGCAAAAACTTTTTTCAGGGCTGGGCAGGAGTGGAGCTTGTGCATGTTTGTTGAGAAGAGGCTACTAAATAGCCGGGGCTGGACCTGGACCAGCAGTGCTTCCCTCCACATCCAGCAGCTGCATTTGTCATCTCATCAGATTTCACAACTTTTTTTTCTTTACATTGACATTGTTTTATCCCCTGCTTTGTTTTCAATTTAGTTGCTCCCCCACAAGACCTTCAGGTCACTGATCCTGGACTCTTAGGTTCTCTGGATATAGAGTGGAAACGTCCACCCAACGGACAAACCTTCAATGAATGCACAGTAAAATACAAGTGTGAATACCGCAACACTGGTGACAGAGACTGGAAGGTAAGACAAAGCGTGATTTAATCCCCTTAAATCCAGGCTTTAGTTTCTGCATAGGTTTATGTTTGCATTTCAAGGACTAGTGGTACCACAGCAGTTCCAGATTTCCATGAAAAAGACAGACTATTCCAGTGGTTTGATCTTTTGCCAGATGGGAATTTGTTCAAAAATGTAACAGCAGCAGCGGTCAGAGAAGGGACTGTTTCTGTCAGAGGGTGTGATGGTTGCTGCCAAAAATAATACAACAATATCTAGTAGCATTCCTCATTGTAAAAAGCAGTACACTTCTTAGAAAGTCTTTACATGGCTTTAACAGAAATTCAGTATCAACAGGTCCTTAGGGATGTGAAGTGGTGAATAAATAAAAGATTAAATACCATTAATTATCCTAATGCCCTAAAATTCCCTTTATCCAGAAGGGTGATTCTAATTACCATTTACTTTTGTCTTTTAGATATGGTTGACTCTAACTCAGCTCTATGATAAAATTTTCAGTCTTCTCTCGTTGATGTGTAGCAGGGCAATTGCAGATAGGCAAAGTACAGCAAGGGTTGTAGAATATATTTTGGGACAGCTGAGAAGATGAAAACTGCTGCAGGGCTAGGAAGGTAAATGGAGTGGGGAGAGGAGAAACCCAGCAGTGGGATGTTTGGTTGGCACAAGGTACTGAGGAACCCATGAAAAACACGCTGAGGGTGTTCCCTGACAACTCGAAATACAGATTGGTGTCCTGAAAGAAAGGGAGATTCTTTTGCACAACCCTAAAGCAGGAGTGCTAGAGCGCTTGCCAGCTCAAGCGACCAGAGAGAGAAGGAGCAGCCACATTAGGTCAGCAGCACTGTGGACCCCAGCCTCTTGCTGCGAAGTTTCCCATGTCCTGCATGAGGTGGTCATCTGCTTCACTGGCTCGAAGCAGCGAAGCAAAGGGTGCCAGGCTGTGCCCAGCCACCACGCAGATGGATTCTGGCCCAGCCATCCCATGGGAGCCTGCGGAGATGGAAGAACACAGTGTCTCCCACCCTGTTTCAGCTACGGATTGCAATTGTGAGGGCACAGAAAGGGGCTCTTCAGCCTGACATCGGTCATGACGCTTGCCACACTCCCAGCCATGCAGCAGCGTGCATCTGTGCAGACTCTTCTATGATGATTTTAACTAGATTTTTAACACAAAGGAAATAAAAATGCAGTTTTAAAAAACATGTTACAATTCCCTAAATCACAAGTAATAGAAGTGTCTTATACAAAGCAGATCTAAAAAGTAGAAAAAAATAATCTCTGGTACCTTGCCAAAACCTTTACCCCAGATAAGTTCACAAAGAAGAGTCAGTCTGAAAAAAAATCCATGAGACATCAACAGAAACAAGAGTCATTGGTGTCTGTTAAAAACACATGGCTGAACATGGCACTCACACTCTGGGGCCGCTGACAAAAAGCCTGCCTGGGGACTGTGCCATTGCAGGTCCCACTGCAGCATGCATATGCATTTTACAAGCACGTTACTTCTGTCCTGCTTGGGCTAAAGCGACACCTTCTCTTTCTCATCATTTGCTGTAACTCTTGCCAACTTATTTTTCCCTTGCATAAAGTAAGGGGAACAAGTCTGAGGGAAAAAATGACAAACCTTAGGAGGAAGTTCTCAGAAAGTCCCGCAAAAGGTTAAGCATGCGGTGGTAAGCCCATGCTGCGCTGCCTGGCTGCTGCTCCGTCCTTGCAGGGCGTGGTTGTGCTTCCCACGGGAACCATCAGTTATAAGACTCGTTGTTCCTTCTGTTTCTGATTATCTCATGCCATGAACAAATGCCTTTTATCTGGATTTACAGCGGTATCCTCATCAGACCCTTGCCGGTGCTCCTGGCTGGTGGGAATCCCTTGAACCACAGTCTGGTCTGTCTTGTCATTGCTGGTGTCCTGTGGGGTGGAGGGGCTCAAAGCAAGCAAGGCTGGACAGAGGAGGTGGTAGAAGAGTGCTGGAGAAGTATTGGGCAGGAGAAGCAGGACAGAAATGTAAAGAAACATTAAAGCACACAAATGAGCCTACTCACGACTGGAGCGGGAGCAATGGTAGCTGATTCTGCAGCCCATTTAGCGACAAAAAATGTGCTCATAAAGTCTGTCTTTCAACCAGGTTATTTTTACTAGGAAGCTAAAATTCAGAGCTGGATTTGACCTCAGCAGGACTGCTGAAGTGAAGGTACAGACACTGCTCGAAGGACGGTGTACCAATGACGTGGAGGTGCAAAGTGACTGGATTTATGCTACCTTTCAGGTCCCACTGCAAGGTTAGGAGCAGCCTGCGGTACCTGGTGTGGTTTTGCACTTTGCATGAGCCTATTGCATGAACCACTGCTGGCCTGAGGGTTGCTAGATGGATAAGCCATTGCAGGGTTTGTTGAGGTGTAAGACACCAGAACATCTCTGCTTCCACTGGCTGTGGTTGTGGTTACTGGATACCTGGGGCTCTTTTGCCTCTGCCTCTACCCTGGCTGTGTTGGGTCGCCCTGCACAAGCTCCAAGGTCAGTTATGCATCTTTCTGCTCTAGGTACAGTGAACTGGCTTTTACAGGAAACAGAACACTGCAGCAAAACTATCTAATAACCGTGACTGGCTTCTTTTCTCTTCTCTTCTCTTTTCTTCTCTTTTTTCTTTTCTCTTTTCTTTTCTTTCCTTTTCTTTTTTCTCTTTTCTTTTCTTTTCTTTTCTTTTCTTTTCTTTTCTTTTCTTTTCTTTTCTTTTCTTTTCTTTTCTTTTTTGTTTCTTATTCTTTTTTTTCTTTCAACTGCAACAAACCGTTGTTCAAAGATGTAAAATGATATTTCTGTTGGGCCTGACTGGTACATTGCTAAATAGTCATTATTTCCTTCTCATTTCACAGGAAAACTGGAATCGGAGGTTCAGAATTTCCACTGCATCTATCATGACTGGGAATACCTCAAGTGCACTTGGCAACCAAGTCTCCTTGCTCCTCACGGTGCACATTATGGACTATATTATTGGTATGTATCAGCAAAACAGAAAACCATCCAGGCAGCAATCAAGTGAACTTCTCAGGTACTAAAATGCCACAGCAAATATGCTTTTATGGCTGGCAATGCTATTACACGATCCACCCAGAATAAACAGAAATAATACACCAAGCAACATGTGCCTTCTGGTAAGGAAAAACCAAATCCCTGCTTCCTTCCTTAAAATCAGGCTTGTGCTGACCTTCTACAGGGAGTGCTTTCTCCCTTTCCTCCTTTCACAGAATCACAGAATGATTTGGGTTGGAAGGGACCTGAAAAAATCATCTAGTCCAACGTCCTGCCATGGGCAGGGGGATCTGTCACTAGCTCGGATTGCTTAAAGCCCCATCCAACCTGGCCTTGAACGCTTCCAGAGATGGGGCAGGCACAGCTTCTCTGTTGCCTTGTTTTCACCCCCATGGAGTGCTTTCTGCATGTTGTCCATCACAAAGCCTTGTGCTTTCCCTTTGCTGAATGTACCTGGATCATTCTGGCTGCATGTTTCCCTTGATCACAGTGCATAAATCTCTATAGGATAGGATTCAGCAGAAGGTTACCAAGCTCACTGAACCTTATACAAAGAACAGGGCTTCTTGGCAATTAACAGTTTTACTCTTCAGATGTATTTTCATAGCCTTAGCACACCTCACACAAGCAAACATGCTGCCAAAAGGTAGTAATAATGCATCTTTGTCAGTTGTTTCTTATATACTGCTGCCTAATGATTCTGTTCTGCAAGAAAAACAAAGCTAGACTTGGTCGTTTTGGACAAAGTAAATGCTGTGTTTGTACTTCAATTCCTACGATACTATCGTAAGGATGACTACTTAGGAAATGATTGGGTTTCATGCCTTTGGGCTACATGTAGAAAACCATAGCCGCTTTTTAAAAATAGTTTCCATGTAGCTCTTGGAAATAGTCTTCAAAGCAGAAACATTGACCTAAAACCAATTTTCTAACTACAAAGGTCTGCTTGAAGAACACCATGGAAATTCATGATTCGTTCCTAAAAATATCCCCAACAAACCTACCCTTATTTAACCGCCTGTAACAAAAACAGGCATTTGGATCTGGGTCCCATTTTGTAATGAGAGCGCATGGGAACACAGCCATGGCATCCTTTGATCCCTGTGAGCTAATTTTTATAGCACTACCATGTGAAGTTTTCCCCCCAAACATAACGTGCAGTGAGACTTTCATTAAGGGTAGAGTACAGAGGCCGGATTCAGCACTGCCTCAGGTTCACTAACCCAGCAGAAGTCCTGAAACGTGATGTGAAACACCACTTAGTATTTCCAGGATGGGGCCAGCAGCTAAGCTTTGGGGAGTGGCCCCCAAAGACAGGAGGCAGTTTGAGAGGACAGGGTGGTGGCTGCGCATTAGCTAATAACCAGCAAACCCCTTCCTCGCTCTCACCCCTGGGTTTCTATTTCATGCCCATATAGATGTGTGGGACCTTCCCACAATCAGTAGTCGCAGCTCGTTAACACTGGTTACATTCAAGGCACACACCACCTACCACAAACTGCTGCACTTTGGCTTGGGAGTGGACCTTTCTGCAACTCCAGATTTGGTGGCTGATGGTGCCTGAAGTGCCCGATGGGAGGATGGGTGTCTCAGTGAGTAAGGCCCAGATCCTGCCCAGCTCCACTCACATTGTGGCACCTCATGAGGCCTCTTGTGCTCCAGAAATGGGCTTGGGGAGAGGCTGACACAGTCTACAAACCAACCTGGGAAGCCATCTGTGCGTGTGAATTTGTTTTTTTTTCTCCTCCCCACATTTTTCCCATAGCAGGAGTCCAGGTGACTGATGCGTAACACTGTGCTTTGGATCACTTGGGAAAGGCAAAGCGGGGGTGGGATATAGGTTATACTTGAGGCTTAGGTCCAATCTTCAAAAAGAGGCCTGACCCAAGTAATAACTGCCATTGCCTTGGTTATTTTTTTTATTTCTGTTTTCCTAATACACCTCTAGGTACGAGGGGCTGGACCACACAGTGCAGTGTGATGACTATATTCGGGATCACGGTGTAAACGTCGGCTGCATGTTGCAAAACCTGAGCCAGGTGTAACACTGGCAGGAAAGCAGCAGGGCTTTGGGGACCCCTACAGCCACAACACACCCAAGGCACACACGGGTCTTGCACAAGGGGGCTGAAACAAATGTGTGCTCTTGTAGATGGCTGGCTGTAATGTGTCTGGGTGGATCTGCGCCCGGAGAAGGGGCTATGAGATGTGCCACACAATCCAGCAATGTTTGCAGGCGAGCAACACCACCCAGAGCCCACCCCGGAGGGCCAGTGGGTGCCTCCAAGTGCTGCGCTCGGCACCTGGGAAATAACTGGTCTGCTGGGCAGATGGAAGAGGAGCTATGGGGTTCTGGCTCTAGCAGCACCGCCACAGAGCTGTCTTCATTTACTCCTGCTGGAATTGAAACTGCTGCTCTGCTTCTGCAAGCACAGGAGTGATCTTTGGGCTTTGCTGTTCAAAGCAAGCTAAGGGCTGGGTAGAACTGAATGCAAGGTGTGATAGGGTCTGCCAGAGCAAAAGTGGACTTCAAACCCATCAGAGACAGAGAAAGGAAGTAAAGCACAGCATGACGTATAACCTGATACATGTACCCACTCCTTACCATGTTGATGTGTTTACCCATGTGTAAATGTCAGGGGATAAAGAGCTGGTCCTCCAGTTAAGCCACTGGGCTAATAAGCAGCATTTCTGGACTAAATTAGTGCTGCCATGTGCTTCACGTGTGGCTTTGGGCATCTGACATAAACCAGAGCCTCTCCTGGGATGCAGAGTGTCAGGCCAACACTGTTGTGGTGTCTCACTGCAGGGGCCAAGGCTGCCGTGGCAGCACAGGGAGGGATGGATGGCCGCACTGTGAGGGGAACGTGCCAAGCCTAACATTCACAGCCCAGCATTCCAAAACCCCTGCACCGCAGTCCAGAGCAAGGACCCAGACCTGCCCACCTGTTAAGTTAAAATGAGCAACCCAGCCTCCAGCCTCAGTGACATCCCTGCCCCTGCAGCGTCATGGCTGGTAGCAATGGGGGCCAGAAATCCCATCAACGGGGAAAAGGGGCAGACGTTGGCGGTGATTAACTGAAGCCTTTCCCACCAGCAGCTGTTTGATTGCACCTCTTGACCTTCTCTCTTTTTGTTCCCCCCGCTAGCAAAGCCATCACCCCCAAAGCAGCTGGCAGTTTCCATGTCTGCATCTGAGGAGCTCCGCGTGGCGTGGAGCCCGCCGGGCGGTGGAACACCACCTCAGTGCCTGGAGTATGAGGTCCAGCTGACAGGAGAGCCAGGGGACGCCAAGGCTGCATGGACGGTAGGGACAACACACACTGTGCCACTGGCAGGGGAAGGGTGGGGGAACCCTTTCCTGATGGCCGGCAGCAGGGAGGAACGCGAGGAAACTGTGGTTCTCACTGAGCTGTGGGTGGCGTGTTAGCTGCCCTGTGCATGGACAGTGCAGAGATGCTAGCTGGTGCTGCTGGTGGAAAACGCTGACTGGCTGCTCTATTGCACACGTTCTTACTTAACACCCTGACCTCCAGCCATGGCATTTGCTTTAACAGTAACAGGTCCCGGCGCAAGTCTCCAATTGATCGCTTTCTCAGGCCTCCTGCCTGTTATCTCAGAAAGCTGTCATCAGAGAAGTGTAAAGGTTCTTGTGGTTTGTTTTCCTGAACACGGTGACACATCTTGGTCCAATGAAACTGTAATTCTAATCTCTCCAAAGAACTGACCCGGGACACAAAATGTCTTTTATGCATAGTCCTTTATCCTTGTGCATTATCCAGGTGCAGTTTTGATAGCAAAAATGGCAAGAAATAATCTTAGGGGACATCTGAAGGATGTTTTTTTCCTTTAGTTGCCATATTCTACACATAAGTCTTCTTAGTTAATTTAATGAAAGATTCCATAAATAAAACTGGCATAAATGGCAACATAGATCATAGACTCATAGAATGTTTGGGGTTGGAAGGGACCTCTGTGGGTCATCTAGTCCAAGCTCCCTGCCGAAGCAGGGTCACCTAGAACAGGCTGCACAAGACCTTATCCAGATGGGTCTTGAATATCTCCAGAGGAGACTCCACAATCTCCCTGGGCAACCTGTTCCCGGGCTCCGTCACCCTCAGAGGGAAGAAGTTCTTCCTCATGTTCAGACGGAACTTGCTCTGCTTCAGTTTGTGCCCGTTGCCCCTTATCCTGTCGCTGGGCACCACTGAAAAGAGTTTGGCCCCATCCTCCTGACGCCCACCCTTGAGATATTTATAAACATTTATAAGGTCCCCAAATGATGATGATAGGGCCTCCCAGAATGTACGTATTTTCAGTAGATTCCTCTCCATAATCATCCTATTGGCATTAGCCATTCCAAAACTATTACAAAATCATTTAAAACTGTCAAAACATAATTCAAGGGTTTGCAGAGCCTGGAGAGTATGTTCAGAAACATCAGGCCTCACCAACGAGCTACTGGTGGTGGCACATAATTCCTTGACATTTGTTCTCTCTCTTTTTTTCTCAGTCTGTGTCAACCCAAATGGAGACCACTTTAACAATTCCCAGAGCAAATCAAAGCCGCATTTCATGTGTTCGTGTCAGGGGGAAAACAAGTATTTTCTGTGCTGACCAGGGCTTTTGGAGTGAATGGACGCAGGAGTGTTTCTCTGGTATGGAACCCAAAGTAACCAGCATTTCTTTTACATCCTTTATAAAGCCTGTTTGGGACCAAGCGCCGATGGCTGCCATGGGCATCTGCTGGTGTCCAGCACTGCAAGTGCAATCCTGGTTTAGTTACACCCTCAACCTACTCCAGCACAGCCATTCCTACAGCTTTGCACCTCCAAAGCACTTAGCAGGCAAATCCCAAAATATTAATGCTTCTGCACCTGCACCTTCCACTGCTGCACGGGGACGGCTGTGATGGAGGAGTGACTGATTTGCAAGAGAGGGCTCGTGGTACTCGGAGTCTCTCTGCAGGGCATCCTCCCTGCTGCCCCCCCCCCCCAGATCAGCTCCTTTGCACCCCGTAGGCTCCATAGGGCTGTCCCCGTGTGCACTAACTCTGCTGCAAGAAGCATAAGGCAGGGAAGAGGCACATAGCAGTGGCTACGTATATGTATGCAGGATATATATTACCCTGAAGGAGTATACAGTAACATATATCTGGCATATATCTCTAATAAATAAATATATGTAGGGTAACAAACCTGGACACGCTGAGTCTGCGTCTGAGCCCAAGCTTTGTAAGAGGTAATACGATCCATTCCGGAAGCTAACATTTTCTTATTTGCTGTTATTCATCTTTGCAGTGCCCAGAAAAAAGGACAAGCAGCTATTTATCCTCATTCCAGTCATTGTGAGTTTGTCATGTAGCTTCATAATATTTATGTTGATTGGCCAGTGCAAGAAAAGGTAAGCATCAAGGCAGCCTGTCCATGCAATGTGCTTTTATGTGGGTGTCTCAGACTACAATTATAAATGAAACAAAGTATTAAATACGAAGAGTCAAACAGTAACAGATGCTCTAATATTGGACACCAAACAATAGTTTATTTTCAGGAAACAACCTTGTAAGGGTGGGTGGATGTTTCTGCTATGAAATGCCTTACAGCAACTCCTAAACTCTCAGCAGAGACCCAAATCCTGCTTATACGAGCCCAGACTGCTTCTGTGCAATGCAGTAAAGTTACCTGCAAGTACAGTGGCATAAATAATGCCATTATCTTGCCCCCAGCCATGCAGGCAGCAGAGATTTGTACTGGTTGTGTTAAAGAAGTGCCATTTTTAAGAGCTAAGGCCTCGCTCTCTTTGCGCTCCTGTCCCAGCTGTTTCCATTCATGACAATGGCAGCACATGGGGAAAGCAGACGCAGTGGATGAATTTGCCTCTATCCAAGTTACTGGTACTGATGACTTTTTCTTCATGTCTGAAGGATCACTTAGAGAAAATTGATCCCCTGGTACTGATAACTATTATCTTTTCCTTATGGCCATATAAAGTAAGCAAGTGGGTAGCTTTTCTAATAGGCCTTTTAAGGCACCACTGATGAGGGAGAACAGGCTATAGGAATACCTTTGTGTTGTCCTTGTGTTTGGTAGCTGAATGCATGGAGTCTGAGACACACACTCCTTCATGTTTGTTTTGTATGTGCCTTTCAAATGTTTTGGTTTGTAAAATTTGAACAAAGTGTAGATGCTGGCAGTAAAACTGTGGAAAGCAAATGCTTTCTGCATTGCCACTGGGATGCAGCGATGTGTGACAGGGATGCTGTAGCGTGTCCCCAGCTATCTCAGTGCTAGGAATAACAGTCTGTGCCCATTTCAGATCCCCAGCAGGAAAGCCATTGCACACATCGGTGGGATGCTAACTCTGCTTGCCACTGCTGTACCACTTGTGTTTGATGGATTGCTCTTAGAACATCATCCCAAGGACAGCCGAGCAGCCCTGAGCTTTCTATAGCCCACGTGGGTCTTCCCCACCTGCTGCCATTTGTGAAGCTGGTTGTTGCAATTCAAGTCCTCAACAGGCCCAGGAAAACATTGGAGGAGTTTTAAACTGACTCTGGAGCAAGCTGGTTTTGATACCAGGACGAAGGAGAAAAATGAGGCAGTAGAAACTGCCATGAATAAAGATAACACGTTGCTCTGTGGGCTTGTTGGTTTTTTTTTAAGGACTCTAGAAATCTGTCAACAGGACACACACTGAAGGGCAGCACCTCACACACAACGCTAGGTACAAACGCCTGCATTCAGCCACTGCACCCAACCCTGCTCTCACCATGTCTTCCTAGTCCCCAGATACTCAGCCTGCTGAGAGTATCTAAATGCTGAACGTGAGCTACTTGAGCTGTTTACTTCATTAACTGATATGCCTTCTCTGTCGCAAAGCTGAAGTGGGGAGGCCTTGAAAGAAACTTTTGCTGTAAAAAGGCACAACCACAGCTACTGCAAAGGACAGATGCTTCAGAGGAGAAGTGAGTGTTACTCTACCACAGGCAGTACGGCATCTTCTCTAGGAAGTGGGCGCTGTTACCAGAATTCAACGAAGCACCCAAGATGTCTCTCAACACCATGTATTCAGCTGATGAAATTGCTGACTGATTTTTAAGGAACCATTCCCTATGATCATGATAAAAAAAAAAAATATTAAAAAAATCAGCAGTAGATGAGACATTGTCCTCCAAGACCATTCTGGTTTTTTTTTGGTCAAAGAACTAACCATCTCAAACCCAGATGTTTAATGTGATTTCATTTCATCTGAACACCCCAGAAAACATATTTTCTTGCTGGGGCATTTATTCAAAATGGGAATTTCTAGTGAACAGTGGAAGCTCAGAAAGAAAATCAAGTTTGCGTCAATCATCAGCTATGTAAAGAGCCATGCTAATCCAATCAGGCACAAAACCACACAGCAAGTGCTGTCTTACACATCCAACTGCAAAACTGTTCAATAACTATCAGCTGCTTCCACTGCTAAATGGGCAACAACCCAATGTTATTTGGGGAGCAACCAAAGGAGGAAAGCACCAGAAAAAAATGGTCTATGCATAGACTGGAGCAGAAATGAAGTTTTCTAGCTGTTGCTATTTTGATGAGAAACAACTTCTGCCTCTACTGTCTCCCGGGGCTTCTGGCCAGCCAGCACGGGACAGCTTTAAGTATAAAAATACTCATAAGCATGCAATTGGCATTGAAATACTGTGTTTTTACCTTGATGAATCCAGCACATTAGAAATGGAAAAGGGAGCTGGAGTTGCAATGTGCTGACTGATCTAATACAGAAGGTGAAATGAAACACGAGAGGGGGAAGGAAGCATGCGTCCAACTCTGGAGCCCTGGACACAAGAAAGACATGGACCTCTTGGAGCAGGTCCAGACAAGGGCCACGAAGACGATCAGAGGGCTGGAACACCTCTCCTGTGAGGAAAGGCTGAGAGAGTTGGGGCAGTTCAGCCTGCAGAAGAGAAGTCTCCAGGGAGACCTGACTGCAGCCTTCCAGCACTTAAAGGGGGCTTATAAGAAAGATGGTGACAGACATTTTAGCAGGGTCTGTTGTGATAGGACAAGGGGTAATGCTTTTAAACTAAAAGAGGGTAGATTTAGACTGGATGTAAGGAAGAAATTTTTAATATGAGGATGATGAGGCACTGGAATGGGTTGTCCAGGGAGGTGGTAGACGCCCCATCCCTGGAAACATTCAAGGTCAGGTTAGACAGGGCTCTGAGCAACCTGATTTAGCGGTAGATGCCCCTGTTCATTGCAGGGGGGGTTGGACTAGATGACATTTAAAGGTCCCTTCCAAGCCAAACTATTCTACGATTCTGTGAATAAAACTGGCTTGGCCCAGAAGCAGTCCCCGGCCCCAGCTCAGGGAGATCTTGCCTGCAGACATCTCCAAAACATGCTTATTAGAGCAATTCAAAGGAATGCAGAGTTCATACAACAGGCCAGATGCAGTAAGGTCAGGACAGCATTTCCTCCTCTGTGCAATGGGAGAGAGCAGCTCTTCTCTTGGTGCCCTCCTGCCAGCTACAGAGTCCCCTTCCTTCCCTCTCTGGTCTCCAGCAGGATTTTTTCAGCAACAAGGGGCACAGCCCTACACCATGACTGCCCCTGGCTGGCACACCACCAGTTTTTTGCTCTGACTTGCTCTGGAGGCTGGGCTGCGTGAACCTCCCTGCAGAGAGATGGGTTGTCAGGGCAGGGCAGTGTCTGGGAGGACCAAGCCTGGATCTCCTGCTCTGCAAGACCAGGATGAACAGAGATGCTCAGACATGCTTGTTCTAGAGTTTTCAATACTTTCAGGAACTAGAGGACATTGGCACGTCCAGAACTGGGTAGCATTTGGGTTCCAGGTTTTCAGAACTTCCACCAGGGCAACAGTTACTGCATTAAAAATAATGGTTAAAACCAGAATAAGCATTAGAGAAAAGTATTGGAAAGAGTCCGACTGAGATTTGCCATTACTGGAAATAACTCCAGGGTAGGCCTCTGATGTTCTGCCAGCCTCTTAAACAGCTTAAACATCTACTAAAACCACATGAGTGCATTGTGAACCTCCCCCAGGGGAAAAAACAAGGCAGGTAGCTAAAGCCCACCCTGCTGCCCTGGGTACATCTGATGCAATCTCACCCACTTCACCACGCGGGAACACCAGGCATGGGCACTTGGAGTGGGTCAAATGGTGCCGCAACCCCGACCTGCTGGGCGGGTTGAAGCTGGGTTAAAGTTTCTGGTCTAAGTTTGTGCAGAAAGAGGTAAGATGGGAAGAAGAATTAAAGAGAATGGTCACAGGTAATAGGTGGTGAAGGAACGGATGTTGTACCTCCACAGCTAGAACTCACTCCAAAAAAGATCAGAGCTATTTTAGTAACCACAAAACATGAAAGTTAGGCTGAAGCCTGCCTAGAAACCTGCCTAGTAACAGAGTGATAAATTAAGTACATCTACTATGGTATCTGTACGCTGCAGCTTTACAGGAGTGTTTAGGTAATGAAAGCTGGGCTTGGCCCCAGCGCAGGGCTCCCCACTCACCAAACTCGTCCCTGCAGAGGGTCCTCGCTGCAGCAGCAGCAAGACACCCCTTCCCCCGGCCGATTTCTCACAGCATCACATCTGCAGCACGTGCAAAATTTAATCCTGATAGGTGGCCAGCTGCTAGTCTTTCCTGACATCTTGAACCTTGCTAGAATTTCAGCAGTATGTTTTTATCCTTATGTTTATAGAATTACACTAATTATGTATTTCTTTCACACAGTATTTGCATTACAGTGGCCTCATTCATTTGCTGTAGTCCTTAATTAATATTTTCAGTAAAGCACTTGCAAAATCACTCCTTTGGAATACTCTGCTCTTATTGTTCCCAGCTCATGTCTGGGTTCCCTGGTGTTTTTACCATTTTAGACCCACATGTCTGGCAAGGCATGTATTTGCCGAACATAAAAAGAGAACTCCTTTGCATACCCTTGAGTTTAGGGTCTTTTTTCTGTCTGCGACTGATAAAGTCTTGGAGCCATTTGTTGAAGAATAAAAAACAACCTTTTCTACAGAGTTTTTTTCCCCAGAGAATGTCAATACTTGTCAAACATATGAAAGCACAATCCTGTGCATGCTGCAGGGAAACGCAAAATCAATTTGCGTCTGTCATACTCTAACTGCTTTTGGGAAGTAGTAAAACAGGGAAGGCGAATGCCAAGGTCACCAGAATCTCTGAAGTCACAAAATCACTCTCGTTCTCTCACTGAGGTCTATTTTCAAGCTGCCAACAAGAAAATCATTTGAAAACCAATTTACCTTCTGTTTCCTCATTATCCATCCTCAGAGTTTTTTATTTTTCTGACTGGCCTCTGAACACAAGATTTTGAACTGTTTGAAAACTATAACCTGCCAATGGCTGAAAGGCATAAAGCACGGCTGGCATGCCGCAGGAGCTCTTTACTCCTCTCACACTTCAGGAAATGAAAAGGTACAAGTTGTATCTCACCAGCTGAGGCATCGCTGCTGAAGTTTTCCATCTCGTTCAGGCGCTAGAAACTCCATGGCCACTGGGTGTCGACATCTGCTCTTGGACGCAAAGGAGGAGGAAAGCAGGTGCAGCATCGCTTCGCCAGATTTAAGTATTTAGGGCATGAAAATTGAATAGAGGGGACAATGGCTCTCTCACTGTAATACAGATTCGTTTTGTTCTTTTTGTACTGCTAAGGGCAGAAGTGCCACACCTTTACTCCATCATTCAGCACCGGGCTGATTGCCAGGTAACATCACCCCTTGTGCCTTGTGGCATCGTGACCTGCACTGACAGGACCATCTCCTACGACATGTGCCAGCCAAACCCAGCGCCTGCCCCTGCCCTCCCTCCCACACCCGTGCTGCTGAGCACCCACAGAAATACTCCATCAGCTCAAACTGGAGGCTTGGCTGAGCTGGGACTGTGTCCTGCCGTATGTCCCTGCCTCGCTCTGGCATCAGCTCCTGCATCCCGGAGCCACCACGGGTCTCAGCACCCATCCTGGAGCCTCTGCAACTCTAGATAGTAGCTAGATCTTGAAAGGACATAAAGGGGCATAGCCCTTCTGCCATCAGCTTCCAGATGTCAAGGCTTTGGGAGTGCAGCAACCGGTGATATAATCTAAAATCTGAAGAGCTTCACGGGCCACGGCAGGTTTGCAGCTCACTGCCTTCTGCTGCTGGGTACATTTGAGAGCACTGTCAAGCTCTTTACGTCTATGTAGAAGCCGAATTTTCTCACGAGGCTCTGTGGTTCTCATAGCTTCAAGGCAAACAAGTACAGCTGATGCATGTGCTTAACAAAACAATTTGAGGCAACATATTGTGGCTGAGCTGTCTGAACAGCTGAAATGGCTCTGCA